CTAAGCATTACGGGTTGGTTTGATGTACATAGAATATTAATACCTCGTAGCTCCAGCTTTGTGGTTCAGTGTTTCTGGTGCCGTACAGACAGGATCGCATTCACTGAAGAGAAGTATCATTTACAGAGGAGGTGCTTCTTTTTTAGTTTGTTGTGTGTAGAGTCATGCAGTATACAAGTGTGAATGTGCAAGAGTGAACTATRTTCTCTATTTTAATTGTGGCATTAGGAGTTTAATCTGCTAAATTTGCCAAAGCTGGTGGATTACAGGATTTATGAAATTTCTGCTCCCTAGCCTGACAGAACAGCATCATGGATATGTTTTCTCCTCCARAACGTCCATATTTTTACTTCCTCAATGCTTAGGATTGCTGGTCTAGTTAAAGCATTTGTCTCCTTGGGTATTTTCAGTCCTTCATAAATCCATGCTATTGATGCTGGCATAGGTGGTGCTGCAGCTGTGGTGAAGCCTTAACAAACAAATCCTCCTACACATACTGGGTTGATGAGGTTGTGTAACAATATGCAAAATACGCTTCTGAGCTCTTTATTATTCTGGTCGCTTCCCTGCCATCTATTCAGAGCCTTCCTGATGTGCACAGGCAGAGCCTTGCACCTGCATGGAGCTTCACTGATGTCAGCGATGCCTCTCATAGGCACCAGTATCTACCTGCCAGCCTCATCTTACAGGATTAAGGCCTTAATGCCTTCTAATTGCAGCTGATACTGTTGAGATGGCTTTATATTATGAGGAGCTCTAGCATGTGGTGGAGGAGATGCAGCCCTTCTTTTGACAGCATGAGATACCCAAGGTTTCAGTTGAGGTATTTGGCAAATGAATCATCAGCTCCTGAGCCTAAAGCAGARATGGCTCAGGAGAAAAAACAACCCTCCCCTCCCCGCCAAATGAAAAGAAAAAACAAAAAAAAACCCCAAAGATTGTGTGCATACCTTGGTTTATAAAATGTACTTTTGAAATGTAAGTTTTGTTTGCAGTTTTTTTCCAGTGAGCTTTTTCAGTTCCCTGATCTTGCATTCTGAGCACCCTTTATGTAATGGGGAGGCAGGAGTCAGTACCTTGTGTTGCAGATTAAGGGCTCTACCCTCCTACATTTGCCCTCCTAGTGCCCTCCTACATACCCTACATTTGCCCTCCTAGTGCTGAGCACTGCCCGCTGAGATGTCACCTTCCAATTCCACAGGCTTTGCTCAAAGTCTGCAGAGCCGAAGTAATTGAGCCTTGTGCATCTTTACGGGTTAGTGAAGACTTTATTGCAAGAACTGGAAGACCTGCTGTAAGCTTTAAGTGAATCTGTGAGTGTGTGATCTGAGTTACTGCAAGCATGTTGGGTTTTACACATCTTTAATTTGAGCCTTAGCTCTCTTTCCTGTAGACTAAATAGTATCCACTGGTCACCTAGAGAACACCATACCATTTTTATTACCATCTGTATATTCAAGGACATTAGTTATGTGTGTTTCTGCATGCCAGTTCATGATTCTGCTTATTGCTTTATATACAGAATCAATATAGAAGCTCGCAAATCTCCAAAGATGTCACGAGCGGCACAGGAGATATCAAGATCTCCAAGGTTACCAATAAGGAAACCTTCTATTGGTTCACCAAGCCTAACCCGAAGAGAATTTCCTTTGGAAGATATTACTCAGGTATGGTGTGCATTGCTGCAAGACCTGAATACAAATACAGCTTGTTCGCTTATATTGGGAATTGTCTATAATATCTGATGTCATTGCTTGATAAATCCTGGCCACAACGACTTCTCTTAAAAAAAATATTCTTTGAGAGATTGTATTCCACCTGATGTTCTTGGCTTTTGGAAAGCATTGTTAAAATGATCCTTTATTCAATTCCTCAGCACTGTCGTCATGCCGCCATAGTAACCTGCTTTTCTAGGAATCTGTAGAGAAAGAAATTATTGGGTCAGGGAGCCGAATGTTCTCTATTTCATAATTACATGGAACAATCATAATTGGAAGAGGCAAACAATTATCATTTTGTGCTCTTTGTGTTATGATCTCTTGGTAAATGAAATTCAGCAGGCTGTAGAACAGTTTTGGGCAAACATTTCATTAGTATTGAACCACATTTTCCTGTTCCTTTCCTTTTCCCTTTTTTCCTCTCCTCTCCTCTCCTCTCCTCTCCTCTCCTCTCCTCTCCTCTCCTCTCCTCTCCATCTCCATCTCCATCTCCATCTCCATCTCCATCTCCAACACCATCTCCAACACCATCTCCAACACCATCTCCAACACCATCTCCAAAAGACCTTTGAATAGGTCATAGATTCTGTTGCTGATGCTGAGAGCATCACTCTGGCTTTCCAGAAAATCACTTAACCTTTCACGTTAAATGCAGTGGTTTGGAAAACTGCTTTGGCACCTCCAGGACAAGATGTTTGTGAATAATTCTATCTKATTTATTGTTTATAAAGTGATTCTTAGGCATAGAATGAAAGGGCAGGGAGTCCTCCTTCCCGAAATACCGAATAACTGCACTCTGTTGTTGTGCAGGAAGAGGAAGCATCTGAACAGTCCTGTTCTCATTAGGCAGCGATGATGCTCTCCGGCTCTTCAGCAGCTGTAAGCAGTCTGTGTGGTTGTTGTGGACGTCATTCCTAATGGTGTTCAGATATCCGAGCCAGGCTTCTTAATAACAGGGTGCTAGCAGTTGATATGTAGGCACAKTAGGCTGTTTCTAAATAAAATAAAAGGAACTGAATTTATATTATCACTTGCTTGATTGCAGGCTTTTTATTAGGGTTTGATATAGATTTATTAGGTGAAAATTTGTTTTTTTTTYYTTTTTTTTTCCCTTGTTTTTTCTTTGCAGCAAAACTACCTTGCTCAGGTCACATCTAACATCTGGGGAACCAAATTTAAAATTGTAGGCTTGGCTGCTTTCCTACCAACTAACCTTGGTGCAGGTAAAAGCAAACTTTTTCAACTTTTTGCATGTCAAACTCTTGCTAACAAGTAGCAAGTTTATATTACATGTTTTTTTAAGTGATCAGAAGGTTTCTTTTACAAGGTGGCTATTTTTGTGGACAGTAGGAATAAGATTTAAGTCCTTAAATCACTATAATTAAGAGATTCAATTATCTATACACAAAAACGAGATCTCAACAAGATGTTGAAAGACTAAGCTATGATAAAGAGATTAATTAACCACCCAAGCTTTTATTCTCTCAGTTTATTTGAATGAAGAACAAAAGAATAAATTTTTTTTTGAATGAAGAACAAAAGAATAAACTTTTTTTTTCAGTTTCTAAGTTTCAGTAATTGTTAAAAATATATTAAGAGGACAGATTTTTATAATCATTCAGCTTCTAAACTCTTCTTTATCTCTAAAGTTAAAAAAAAAGGTCTTTTAACATCATGCTCAGGTTTTCTTATGTTACTGCATGGTGTTATCACATGGTTCTCTTACGTTTATTTGTTCATTAATATATTATATGAAAATAGTCATAGCCGATCTCTGCTTTGAATTGATTCTGTCTTGGTTTTTGATTCTCTCTGTGTAACATTTTTTTTTCTTTTATTTCTTCTTATTTTCCATCCCTAGTAATATATAAAACCAGTTTGCTGCATCTTCAGCCCAGGCAGATGACCATATATCTCCCAGAAGTGCGGAAGATTTCAATGGACTACATTAACTTGCCTGTCTTTAATCCAAATGTTTTCAGTGAAGATGAAGATGATTTACCAGGTAAGAATGAATTGGAGTTTCGTCATGTCATGGGCTAAGGTAGCTGGAGGGCCCATCAACTCCAAATTTCTTAGTAGAAGGGAGTGCTATAGAAACTGACTTGGAAAAAGGTTAATATGTTTTAGGGATAATGTTTTATATATCTATATAGAGAGATATTGATAGAGGTATTGTTAGTATAGGTATATACACACACACATAAAACTAAAATAGAATCCATGTAAATATRTAAAATATACAAAAATATAAAATAGACTTCATATATTGCTGCTGACTTTAAAGTTCACTGAAAAGTCAAACTTCTCTTTAAATCATTAAGAATTCTGAATCAAGTAAAGCTTTGTATTCTGTGTCTGGGTAGAACAGAATACGTTAATAATATATAGGAAGCTTACAAGGGTCATTTTTGTGATCTGACAGCAGCAAAGCACAGCTTTGCTGGAGGGCAGGTAGGATTCCTGTAAAATACAGCCACAATTTGACAAGTGTTAAATGCCCCTTTGGATTTTTATTAATATCACACCTTATAGAGAGCCTACAACAATTGTGTTCTTTAAACAGAGAGGATCATGAAGGAATTTCTCATTTCACTGAGATGAAAGGTAGCAGAAGATTCAGGCAGTGTACAAGGAGACTGCAGGTGATGTGCATTTGACGGATAAAAAGACTAGAAGTACCTAGGATTTCTATCAAGCAAAAAATAAAATAAAATAAAATAAAATAAAATAAAATAAAATAAAATAAAATAAAATAAAATAAAATAAAATAAAATAAAATAAAATAAAATAAAATCAGCAGATAATAGCCAAGAAGTTAAGCTCCTGCTGCTGGGTCAGATTTGTTTGAAGCTTCAGAAATGGGCTTCGTAGGCAGACGGGATTCATTAAGGAGGAAAAAGTGTGAGAGCTGCAGGGCAGTTAAAAGCTTGGGCTAAAATCTGTTGAAATTAATAGAATTTCTCCCATATATTTGACCAGATGCTTTTGCTGAAGGCACCCAAGCTTGTGCATGACCCAAGCATCAAAGTAGTTCATTGGACTCCCAAAGAGTTACTCATGCACTTAAAAAGAGGCTCACTTTCTAGTGCTTTGGAGCTTAGCTTGCTTGCTTTACATCCACATAGTGCTTCCCTTTACGATCTCAAGAAAAAAATAGAGAAATTGTTGATTATATGTAACCTATGCATAGGAAGTAGTCAGCAATTTCCAATATGAAACCTGATCCCAGCCCTTAACAGAAAAGGTTACTTTGATTTAAAAAAAAAATGTAGAAGAGCTTTCAAGGATATCCTCTCTGAGAGACTATATGTAAAGGCAAAAAGTACCATATGCTAACTGAGAAATTATGTTGCAATGTAAGTGATGATTATATGAGAGAGAAAAACATGGCAGAAAGTTGCTCTTGGACAGTGAAATGTTTAASAGTGAGATACTCTTGGAACAAAATGCTTTTTAATGTTGTCAACAATGATTTGGCAAGGCAAACAGACAGTGATTTGGCTTAACTTGAAAATTATGCAAACAAATCAATTAAAGATCATTGGAGGAATATGAAAAAAATGGATTTAAACACTTCATGTTGTTAAGCAATACCATGACAAATGAAATTTTACTTGGATAGACACTTAATACCCATGACAACAACATTTTAGGTTGTCAAGCCAAGGTAACAATTAAATTCAAAGCCCTGGAGTATAATTTGCTAACCTCAGCCATCAGGACGAATGCTYAGCAAAACACACACAGAACTGCACTCTTACAGTCAACTAGCTTTACCTGTTGGCTGCCTTCTAACAGGATGAGCAGAACTACCATGAAAATTTGCCAACCTTGTCACAGACACCTACATACCTACCACCTCCTACTCTGGGGAGCAATTTTGATAAAAGCTTCGTGCTATCAGAAATGCAATTACAAGGCATGGATAGATGGCTAGAATTTTAATTAGGAATTAACTAGGAAGTGGCTAATGGTCAGAGAAGCCCTAACAGGTCAYTTGCCTGATGTGGTCTAGCAAATCACAACTCTCCGTAGAATTTGTCCACTTAAATAATCTTAAGTATGACTGTAGTCTGTTTGTCTGCCAGGAACTTGTCAAATCAACTTGCTGATGATTTTCCTTTTTTTTTTTTTAATAGAAAAAAAAAAGGTGAAGATTTTGGGGTTTTTTTGTGTATACAGTATCCATCCTCTTCCCTTATGTTTCTTTTATCTTAGCTTTTGCATCTGTACTTCATTTGGGTGTCCTAATTTCCCTATTACTGTCGAGCTTCTCAGTGATAATCCTCACTGGAATCAGCGTTGCCATCRTTTGCAAAATGAATTGGAGCAAGTCCCATGCTTTCTGTTTAAAATTTGCTGATTTGCTTCTTGCCTCACTATCCTTTCCTCACCTCCACACATGGGCTACTTTCACAATCTCATCATCTTTTCACTTTTCTGATTGCAGCTTGTCCAGACATTAAAGCTATACTTGTACTGAGTACCGTACCCACTTCTTGAATCTTTCTGGCCTCCCATCTGATTTTCTCACATCATTTCCTTCCAAACCTTCTTTCAAGGACTTGCAAAAGTCTTCTGTGTGTTTCATTCCCCTTGTTATTTTATCTACTTCCCTTTTTTTTTATGATACAACTTGCTTTGTTGCRTGTTATGCTCAATATCTCCCTCTTTTCAGCTATAGTCTCTTTTCTTTTTTTAAGCACATTGAGTTAGGGAATATTTGACTAAGACATTTGTAAGACATATGTAATGTAACTCTTCTGCTTTCTCTTTTCTTTCTTTCTGGCTGTATTTTTTGATGTCATCCAACACCTAAGTCAAAGCTCGTGATTGCTGTCAAATCAGGGGCAGCTCATAAAGTGTCATTTCATCCTCCTGCTGTAGCTGTGCCTAGCATGGCACAGTGACTGCAGGCTGGCTGCAAACAGTCAGCCTGGGCTAGTCGGCCAACTCAGACTCCTTTGGGCCTAAGCATCATGTACTGGCAACCTTAGAGAAAGTCAGGAAGCCACAGAAGTGACCTAGAATTAGGAACAATGATGAGCTGATAGCAGCCGCTGATCTCTGAATAGATGCTTTATAGTTTATTGATGTATTTCCTATTTAAAAACAAGCAAACAACAACAAAAACTGAAAACTAATGTGAGTCCTGATTCATCAAAACCTCAGTTGATTTGAGTGGYAGTTGTTGTATAGATAGTTAAAACTGGACAATGGATGGAAGAAACTTAGACTCTCGGGTAATCTTTTCTCTATGAACGTTAGTAAAATKAAATTTTAATTTAACTTCTGAAGTACCATTCAGGAAAATTTACCTTAACATTGGTGTTACCAGATGATATACATAGGTTTTGTGCAGTGGGAATCCTTGGGGTTAATCTGTTTTACTTACTGAACTTATGTCTGATCCATTGCTTTGAGAATAATATAGCAGCCCATCATAATGCAGGAGAGTAGCAAATGCAGTGAGTACTCAAAGATAAGCAGGTAATTTAAAAAATAAGGGTAAAAAGGAATGACCAAGTACAAAAACTKTGTAGTGATTTTTCTTGCAAGTAGTTTAAAAACAGTTTTTACCCCAATCTATGAATGATATGGAATTGCTGCCACAAAWTTTTCCAGTTATATGTTATTAGCGGCCCGAATGTCTTTTGCAAGTGCTGACGAAAAGCAAACCCATGTGAAGCACTACTGCAGGATAGTAAGTGCTGAGAAGAGTCTTGGTTAATCTGGAAAAGAGGAGGCTCAGGAGGGACCTTATTGCTCTCTCCAACTGCCTGAACAGTGGCTGTACTGAGGTAGGGACAGTCTCTTCTTCAAAACAATTACTGATAGACTTAGAGTAAATGGCCTCAAGTTGCACTAGGGAAAGTTCATATTAGATATTAGAAAAAAAAAAATCTGTGCAGAGAGTGGTGAAGCGCTGGAACAGGCTGCCCAGGGAAGTGGTTGGGTCTCCATCCCTGGCGGTGTTCAAGGAACATACAGGTGGAGCGGTTTAGGGACATGGTCTAGCAGGTGTGGTGTTGGTGGGCTTACAGTTGTACTTGCTGATCCTGAAGGTCCTTTCTAACCATAATGATTCTGTGATTCTCCTGCGTGCCACATGCTGGTGTAACAGCTGCAGCTGGTGATGGCTCCTCRCTCGCCACGCTGGCCCGCGTGGCAGCCGGGCTGGGGAGCAGCCACGGGGSCCTCAGGCCTCTGGGGAGAGCAGGGCCGGGGCGGCTCGCAGGGCAGGCATGCTCACAGTGGCTGACAGGCTCTGTTGTTGGTTGCAGTGCCCGGCGCGCCCGGCGTCCCCGAGAGCAGCCCGCCGTGCACCGTGAACATCCCCATCGCCCCCATCCACAGCTCGGCCCAGGCCATGTCGCCCACGCAGAGCATCGGCCTGGTGCAGTCGCTGCTGGCCAACCAGAACGTGCAGCTGGACGTGCTGGCCAACGCGCCGGCCGAGGCGGGTGGCGACGGCGCGGGCCCCTTTGCCGCCGCCGGCCGCTTCCCCAGTCCCGGGCAGGTGATCTTCGGGGGCATCGAGGTGGCCCGCACCGCCTCAGCCCCGCCGCCGCCGCCACTCGCCCTGCCACCCCCAGCGCCCGCCGACCACCGGGACCGCGGCGACCGCGACCATGAGCACCTGCCCAAGGCCAAGCCGCTGCTGCGGCCGGCGCAGCCGCTGCTGGACGGCGACGCCGTGGCATTCGGCGCGGGGCCGGAGGCGCCGCTCAGCAAGATGAACCCGCCGCCGCCCTACCCTGGCACCATCCCCGCCGCGCCCACGGCCGCCCCACCACCACCGCCCGGCCCCCCGCAGCCGCCCATGGACCTCTGCCTGAAGAAGGGGGAGTTCTCCCTTTTCCCGGCGGGACACTACCAGACGCCCCTGGGCTACGAGCGCATCACCACGTTCGACAGCAGCGGCAACGTGGAGGAGGTGTGCCGGCCGCGCACCAGGGTGCTCTGCGCCCAGAGCACCTACACCCTGCCGGGGCCCGGCAGCTCGGCCACGCTGCGCATTACCGCCAGCGAGAAGAAGATGCAGCAGCCCTGTTCGAGCGCCACCCTGAACAGGCTCACGGTCCCGCGCTACTCCATCCCAACCGGGGACCCGCCACCGTACCCCGAAATCGCCAGCCAGCTGGCGCAGGGCCGAAGCATTGCGCAGAGGCTGGACAGCACTATTATTCACGCCACTCTGCGGAGGAACAGCAGAGAGGCAGCTCTGAAAATGGCTCAGCTGGTGGACGGTCAACGAGCCACTTTGCAGCTTCCCCCGAAAGCCAAGAGCAACGTGGTGGCAGCGCAGTACCAGCAGAGAGCACCTACTGCTTTGTACACGTGCAGCCAGTGCAGCAGCAGCAGTGGCAGTGGCAACGCCAGCAGCAGCACAGGCACTGGTGGTGTGGGGAGCCTGGCTAACGCCAATGCCAGTAGCAGCACKTCCAGTATTAGTGCTCTGAGGCCTGACTTAAGCGCGGGCAATAGCTCCCAGCATAGCTCAGTCATTGCTCACTCTGTCAGTACTTCACCCCTGGCCTCCCAATCGTCCTATAGCTTGCTGAGCCCACCTGACAATTCCCGTGACCGGGCAGATTATATCAACTCTGCCTTCACAGAGGATGAGGCCCTTTCTCAGCACTGCCCGGTGGAGAAATCAATGCGGCATGTCCCCGTGGCCTTGACAGAGGCTGCCATTGGTGTAAAACGGCCGCCACCCTACCAGTGGGACCCTATGGTGAATGAAGAGATATGGGTTCCTCAGGAAAGGACRTCTCAGAGCTCAGTACCCAACCCTCTGAAACCTCCTCCTCTCATCATTGGTCAAACTCAGCATTTGGATATGTCTCGAGTGCCATTTGTTTCCCCTAAGTCTCCAACCAGTCCCACTGCCACGTTCCAGACAAGTTACGGGGTTGGAGTCCCTTATCCAGGAAGCTACAGTGCCCCTCCTCTTCAGGGAATGCAGCCCTCCTGCTCCCCCAAAGAAGCTCTGGCCCCAACGCAGTTTGCACAGCAGGAGCCAACAGTTGTGCTTCAGCCAGGTTATCCATCCAACCTCTCCTATTGCCCTTTGCCACCCATGTATCCAGGAAGTAGCACATGCTCTAGTTTACAGCTGCCACCGATAGCCTTGCACCCGTGGAGCTCCTACAGCGCATGCCCACCCGTACCAAATCCCCAAGGCACCTTGCCCCCGAAGCCACTCCTTGTGGTGGAGAAGCCAGTTTTGTCTCCTCCACCAGCAGAGCTTCAGGGTCATGTAGGCACAGAGGTGATGGTGGAAACAGCAGACACCTTTCAGGAGGTGCTTTCCTTGACAGAAAGTCCCGTTCCCCAAAGGACAGACAAATTTGGCAAGAAGAATCGGAAGCGTCTGGATAGCCGAGCTGAGGAAGGAAACGTGCAAGCTATCACCGAGGGCAAGGTCAAAAAGGAGGCAAGGACACTGACAGACTTCAATTCACTAATATCCAGCCCGAGGCTGGGCAGGGATAAGAAGAAAGTCAAGAGCCAAAAAGACCAGCTCAAGTCCAAGAAGTTGAACAAGACAAATGAATTTCAGGACAGTTCAGAGAGCGAACCAGAGCTTTTTATCAGTGGGGATGAACTGATGAACCAGAGTCAGGGAAGCAAAAAGGGATGGAAAACCAAGAGGAATTTGAGGACCGCAAGCGAGCTGGATGAATTCAAGTGTCGTAAGGCCAATGAAAAAGAGGACGGACGACTGGGAAGCCAAGGCTTTGTGTACGTGATGGCCAACAAGCAGCCTTTGTGGAACGAGGCAACACAAGTGTATCAGCTGGACTTTGGAGGGCGGGTGACCCAGGAGTCTGCAAAAAACTTCCAAATTGAGCTGGAAGGACGACAGGTAGGAGGGCAGCATCAAGCCACCCGTGAAGGGTGGGTGGGCAGGCAGAGGGAGGACAATCCATGCCAGAATTGCCCTGTCCTGCTCCCCCTGCAGCGGGCTTCCAGCCTRCGCCGCTTGCTCCTTAGGAAAGCTTTGCCACAGAAAGCCAGGGTTCAAAATCTAGATTCAGAAGAACTGATGAGGTTCGCTTGTAAACTAAATGTATAAAATGTATCTCTTGTCTTACAAAACTGATCTTTTGTCAGACTCAGGGAAAAGACCTCTTTTAATCTCAGTATCTCTCACTTCTGAAGGTGTTTTTTGTAATAAAGTGAGTGGGGAAAAACACAACAAATTTCCCCATGCGTAGTTGAATTGAAGTCAACAATTGTGGACGGTAGTTGTTTGAACAAACACTGCTCAATTCCCACAGAGATTACAACAGTTAACCAGGTTAGCCAGGCATACACTCCAGGCAGTAGACAGCTAAGATGGACATGATGGAGAGCTAAGGTCCCTCCCGGCCACAATCTTCCCCTCATGGATAAACAGGCCTCTGGTGCTGGCCCTTAATTCTAAAGGAAAGGCTGTGACCCTCCCCCCTAAACAAGGTGCTCACAGGCTGCTTCTCAACAACCGGTGCATAGGAGAGGCTGGAGATGTTCCAGAAAACCGAAATGTTTAAGGCTGTCTCATACTGACCTGAGTTGCGTGTTATTGCATCAAAACCAGACTATTAATTGACTTCAATCAGCAGGATGCTGGACTGAGACTCAGGAGACTTAAGTTTTATTCCTAGTTGATCTGTACCATCTCTGTGAGTCATTTTTTGATTAATAAAGACATTAAGGCTCACTAATTTAACTTGGGAGTTAGGTGTCTTAGGTGTCTAATATGCCTGATCAGCAGTAGTCTTTCTCCCTCACTCTCTCTCTCTCTTTTTTTTTTTTTTTTCTTAATTTATGACAACAGCTCATTAAAAGGACAGTGAAAAATGCCATTTAAACTATTTCATCTTCAATTAAATGACCTTGGATACATGTCCATCAGCAGCTGTGTTAAGTCCCGCTGATTACAAGCTTTGTTAATTGTAGAACAAAAGCCTGACTCCACTAGCACAGGCAGCCTCAGTTCTAGCTCAAGCAACTTTATTGTAGACAAAAAAAAAAAAAAAAAAATAATCTGGGCTTTTGATTAAGCAAAGGGTAACATGGTAAAAATAGGCCAAACTTCAGGTGTTCTTTGCAGAAAACAGAACAACCTGACTGATCCTGCTTTGCATTTCAAACAGCCCCCACTGCCCTCGGCCAGTTTGTTCCCAGTGTAATCATGTGCTAGCGAAGGCTATACAGAGGAGAAGAGAACTKCCAAGAAAATTCAGCTTACTGCATGTGAGATGTGGTAGTCAGGAGGTCGGTTATTCCCCTCTTCTGAAAGTCCCTTCCCTTGAAAACAAAAACTGTTTTCCTGACAGGGAGATGATAGGATCTCTCCAGGGCGGAGAATCAGAGTGGTATTTTTATGCAGGAAGAAGTGATTGAGTATTCTAGTGTGAATGTTTCAAAATGTTTCACTCTTGCTGTTTTTTTTTTTCTGGTGATTCACTACTTTTAACCTTGTAATTTTTTTCCTTCCTTCCCCGCTTCCCAGGTGATGCAGTTCGGAAGAATTGATGGCAATGCCTACATTTTGGACTTTCAGTATCCGTTTTCAGCAGTGCAAGCCTTTGCTGTTGCTCTGGCTAATGTGACTCAACGCCTCAAATGAACAAGCAGAGACTGGAGAGAGGAAAATGTTCACAAAACCATCTCAAAAGTCCCAACCGGGAAGCRTTAGGGCAGCCTGCTTTAGGTGCGCAGAGGTGCCTGGGAGTGAAGAAGGCAGTAAAACTGGAAAAGTCTCTTGGTGCCCCAGACAAGGGCATTGACTCTAATCAGTCACGGGGTGGAGGGTGGGGGGGCTCTTTCCTGTTTCGTTCGTTCATTCGTTTGTTTTCAGTTTGTTCGTTCCTCTGTTTGTTTGTTCCTTAGCGTTGTGCTGGGTTTCAGAAGGAGCGCAGGGTTGAGGGCCGTTCAGTGTTACGTGGAGGTGTGTGGCTTTTGGCTTGTTGTGGTGATTCTGCTGTGTTTGCTACAATAGCTACGTAAGCTCATAGGGGGATTTAAAAGATTGCTCTTTTTGATAGACTGCCTTATATCATGCTGTTCTTTTTAAAACAGGGAACATAACTTTTTTTCTGGTCCAGTTTGTACTACTACTACTTACTGCTACTGCTACTACTGCTACTACTATTACTACTACATCAATGATAGCAGCAAAAAAAAAGGAAAAAAAAAGAAGCTATAATACTTGAAGACACGTGTTTCTTCTCTGATCTCTGATAATAACTGAACACCACAGGTACCAAGGAGGCTTATATAGGTCAATGTTTAATTTATAAATAGTGATGTATTATTCAGAAGATAAACAAAACTGTTACCTTTGGGTGATTTCAAAACCCACTGTATCAAAGAAGTTGATGTCTGCTTGTTTTGTGTGCTGTTATTGGGGATAAACATGTTTCAGCAGGTGACAGAAAATACCGAAGGAAAGACTTGTAGGCCTTGCTTCTTTGCTCATATTGATCAGCAGTATTCTTTGATTTGGACTGTAGTTGGGTGAGGTACATTGTGATCAGGGGTACCTCATAGGCCAGGCCAATACAGGTTCCTCTATTAAATGTGTTTACATTTTAAAAACAGTCTTTCATGTGAATGAAATGGGCCTTGTGTGTTCAGTCTTCATAGGAATCAAGTTTCACAACATTATATCAGCACTTGAACATGGAAGGAGACAGGAGTATAGCAGGTCATTACAGGAAGCAGTTCCACATTATGACTTACTGGAAAAAATGAGTTAAAAGAAGAAGGAAAAATTGGGCAGAGTCATCATTTTTATCATTTTGCTACTTGAGTGCTCTATTTGTGATTGTAGTTTGRGAATGTAACGCTCCAAATAAGAGTGGGAAGCCAAAGTGTAAAAGGCAGAGGGCTTTTTCACAGTAGCATGACTGTTCCTGTCTGCAATTTTTTTAGTAGACATCCTGACCTCTTGAGCATTTCAGAAGGGTTGCTTGCATGGAAGAGTGATTGTGTTGTCCATTTGATGTGCACATATTTATTTTCTTTCTTTCCTTGTCGTTTGCATTTTGCTATGGAATATGTTTTAATATGGAAGTAGTTCCCCAGTAATACGTGAAAACCATAATTGTTCATGCTGTTATTTGGACATTAGATTTTAAAATGTAACTGTAAATTTCCTTCAGAAATTATTCCTTTGAAGTAGGAGCATCCTGAGAGGGAAATAATGGTTGAGGTATCAGTGGCTGCTTTGTCTTTGCTTTTCATTCACAATTTAACCTTTCACTAGAAAAACACTGTGTAACTTGGGTGTCATTTTCAGTTTGTTTTTTTTTTTAATTTCAACACTAAGGCAAATGTGTTACACTTGATTCATTCTAGAGGAACCCATCACTTGCAACAGCAGTTACCAAAATGCAGCGTGCCAGAAACTTGTGTCTCAGCTGAGGCTTCTGAAGCTGCAGTGCGGAGAGGATAGTGCTGGGCAGAGAGGAGTGCTAGGGAGCTGCAAGGAGGCATGAGGAGGCAGATCATCTGCAGGCTGTGGCTGATCTTCCAGTGATGTGAGTCCAGAAAGAACCATCTGCAAGGTGGTTTCCTTGGAGTGAGGGAGCAGAGGTAGGGAGGAAGGAGAGGAGGAGGTGGAAGCGGCAGTGCCTCTGTTATCCCAGCTCAGCAGGTTCTGCTGGGTGCTTGGGTGSTGCTTCTGCTTGGGTGCTGCTTGAGTGTGGCTCAGGCACCACATCCCCCTTGGCATTTAACAGATTGCTGTTGCTTTTKTTAATCAGAAATTCTGTTGAATTTCTTCAGTCCTCTGAGCCCGTTAGCGTTCCTTCTCACRCGCACCACCTATTCCGTAGTTTCTTTGAGTGACTTTATACTATGTGGAGGATGGAGGAACTCAAATGGATTTGGTCCTGTTCCCTTTAAAATGAATGGGAATTTCTGCCTTTGATTCTTGTGGAGGAAGCAGCATTGGGCCCTTTGTACAGAGTTGTACCCTGTGCAGGACAGCAGTAGGTTGACTTCTCAGCRCCCTCGGTTTCAAAACCCAAGGAGGAAGGTTGTTCGAGTAGAGTCCTTCCCTGCCCACGTCCATGCTGTCCACTCATACCCATGCCAGAGTATAACAGGAATACACTGAACACTGTAACACCAGAAATGTACCACAGGCTTCTTTCTTTCTGAAAGAAGGGCCATTCTATCACATATTAGAAATCTGCAGCAGCAAGGAACGTACTGCCTGTAGTTTTAAGCCAAAACGGATATTTCATGAAGCATGGTCCTCTACATGCATGTTTTCTGAACTAACCAAAACAGGAGGACTTTTATGTGCAGTTCCTTTAACCTTCCAGGAAACAGTATACCTCTTTGATTGGTTCCAAACCAATTTTCTCCAGTTAGCAGCAGTTTTATGCTAATGTAGGAGAACCATAAAAAGGAACCTGGCGAAACAAGTTGCAGAGTTAGTAATTTACTTTTGTCAGCCGGAGTCATGATTGCATCATGGCTGCAACGTGGTGCTCACAAAGAGCTCCTGCCTGCGTAGAAAGAGACTGAGTCTCTGCCCAAAGAAAGTGCAGATGATAAGTGTCATAAATAAATAACATTTCCAGCATCCTTCTCATTTACTTATCAGGAAATACTATGGATAAAATATTCTATTTGGAAATACATGTCAGGAAATAATATGGATAAAATAATCTCTTTGGAAATATATTGACAGAGTTCCTTTACCTGAAAATTTTAGTGGCACAGAGAATATCCAGTATTAGAGCTATATTTTGATCTCAAATATGTAGAATTGTAATGAAAACAGTGGGAAGTAGGTTGATGACTGAGAGTAGAACTGGATCCTAAATTATGCAGAAAAAAATGTGTGACAATGCTTTTATTTTTCACTGAGGTTAAATAAGAGAGAAAACTTTAAAAGATCCTATGAAATAATATCACTTTCATTCTGAAGATTGCTTTTGCATTCAGCCAAAGCAAAAGAAAATGATACATTTTATATTTAAAGTCAAAGTTTTCCGTAGATAGTTAACAGAGTTCTTCTRGAAAGAATGGAGCAGAGTGCTCAGAAATATATAATTGTTTTAAGGACACAGTCACTTCCAGTAGTTAAATATGGTTTTCCAAAGCTTTTTGTTTTCAGTTGTGCAATAATTGTTACAATCTAGGTTTTAGAGGGGGGRGACAGAGTTGTTGTTTGGTTTTTGAGGGATTTTTTAGTGATTTTTTAAAATATAATTTAATGCAGGTTTCCTGTTAATGTCCAAAAGACAAATTATTTATCTTGCTTAATGTAATAAGTGACTTTAGGGCTTATTTTATTAATATGTGTCTGTGAGTTATACACACTTTCTTATTTATATTTAAAGACCATCTTTGCAAATAATTGTTTGCTAGCAGTATGTTTTGCTGCAAGAAGTTAGGGTGCCTATAGGAAGAGCTGTTTTTGCTGGATAGTGTGGAAAATCTCATAATATGGCAGGCAAGATGCCTGCTGAGAGCAGTGGGGAGGGCTGTGTAGATGACAGAGAGTGTAGACGAGCTCTTTGGGACCTGCAGATATCTGTCTTTCCCAACTCCGTATTTTCCTCCTGTCTCTCTAGCTACAGTTTTCATCTGGGGGGAGCTTTCGAAATCCAAAACTTGATTTGCTTTCCCTCTTCTTAGCACACTGTGCTAAGGAATTGGAAAGGAGGTATGAGAGAGGGTGTAAGGTAGGCCCRGTTTGCAAGATGCCCTTTGCAAAGCTCTCCAGGGCAGTGAGCAAGGGCGAGGTGCAGCGCCACGCAGAGTACCTGAGTAGCTCGGGACGAGCTTGCTGAGGCCCTGGGCCTAGGCGCAGATGCCCTGTGCTCTGATCAGACCAACCCACACTTCTCAGTGGGGCTCAGCTGCTTCCAAGAGCACCGCAGAGCTGCTGATACAGAGCAGCAGATGCCGCACAGAGCTGATGTGGCTGCGGCCTGCGGTGCCTGCAGGGCCGCTCGGAGCCCTCCATGGGAGATGTGCTGGGGCTGCGGGGCCGGGTGCTGCCCGTCATGGCCTTCTGCAGGCACMGTCTGCCCCGCTGGAATTGCCAAGGGACCCACAGGAGAACCGTAACGATGTAAAAATATGTCTGCTGTCCTCAACATATGGCTCCCAAGGGAGTCTAGGAATTAGTATTTAAAGCCTTGTGTGAAGTGGACTATGCATGCAGTGGTGTATTTTATCTTGAGACAGCAGAATTGTTCAGTGGGAATATCACATTTCTGCAATGTGCTAAGAAACTATGGGAAGGCAAGGGGTGGGGAGGGATGAAAGAGAGAAAAAGAACTGAATTGCCACGTTAGGAATTTGCACTCAGTTCTGGATGTAGCAGTAGCGTGTGCCATGGCCAGCCTGAGCATCAGTTTTGTGACAGTAGATCTGCACACAAGCTCGTCTCAGTTAAACTTTCTGTGATGCAAAAACAGTAAAATAGTTCCATATTTGCCCAGTTTTGTTCCGTATTTTTACAAACATATGTAATGGTGTCAGACCAAGGTACTCAACTTTGTTGAAGCCTTCAGTCTAGACTCTGTGTAGGTCCAGRCTTTCTTTCAAGCGGCTTTAGCATCCTCTCAGAAATTTCCAATAAACTTGTGAGCTTGCCTGGTCATTGTCTCAGCCAATTTCTGAGCGTTTTTTTGCAGCCTCATAGCAGTGAGTCTATGCTATCTTGTACCCTCTTAGCTGTGAGCAGCAGTGTAAACCTCATCTGAAGGAAGCAGCACACACTAAAACTGATTTAAAGGGGAAAGAGTGTTTTTTTTTACAAGTTTTTAAGTTTGTGTTTGCTAGAGCAACAGTTAGAATCAAAGAATCCATAAGGTTGGAGATCAYCTAGTCTAAAGCCCCTGCACACACAGGGTCACCAAGAGCACGGGGCACAGGGCGGCATCCAGGCAGGTTTTGAAGATCTCCAGAGGAGACTCCACAACCTCCCTGGGCAGCCTGTGCCAGGGCTCCGTCACCCTCACTGTTAAGAAATGTTTTCTTAAATTCCTATGGAATTTCCAGTGCTTCAG